TTAAAGTTTGAGACTAATTTACATTTTTAATGAATCCGACCTGGCTTTATTGAAAAAGAAAAAATAAGGAAAATAAACATTTTTTAGGTGACAAGAGCTCATTAGAGATATAGGGGACACAATCTGTGATAAGCCCGAAATACAGACCACGTGGTAAACACTAAAGTTGGAAATGGATCCTTTTAGGAAAACTCTTTTAAAGCTCTGCAGGCTCTGAAAGTTGCAACAATAAGAAACAGCTCATGAGACAATTGGAATTGGACATGGAAAAATATAACAAAGTTAAAAGTACAGGCCTTCTGTGTTGTTATATGTTTGTGTGTGTTATATGTTTTGTATATGTTATATGTTTGTGTGTCATGTCAAAGTACACCACGTTGACCTTAACAAACTCTGGACCAATACTAACGTAGGGAATCGGCCTGTGATGTGACTGTGATGTGAGTGTGGTGTGAAATAAGGAGTGAAATGAGGAATGCTGAACGGAATCATGGAATAACAAATGTGTCTGTAATGTTTTAATGTGATCATGGAATAATTATTTTTTGTCAACAGCATACGGTGTAAGTACTAGAGATTCAAAGATAACAAGCTTTATTGAACAGGTGTAAAAGTGAGAGTACTCTGGGATGAGTACTCTGAGAAAAGTACTCTGCGGAAAGTACTCGGAGATGAAATACCTCGCTGAAGATATTGGGAGTTCCTCCCTCTGCTGTTTGCCCTGACAGTGATTCGGTCCAACCGCAGTGAGCGGTCATTGGGCGGAGGACAACTTTGGTTTGTAAACTCACATTTAGGGGAGTATAAAATTAGAAACATACATTTTGTTGTTCTGTATCTGGCTACAGCCTCCGCCCTGATGCCACACACCACCTGTCAATGCAGTTATGTTTTGCCCAATTGGGAAAAAGATTGACAAGCGAAAGTAGGCATTTTTTGTGTTTTTTTTTTGTGTTCTGATATTTCTTTTTCAGATGAGAGATAAACTACCCCTGCTCCAGGGATGACAGTAGTGTGGATCAGGAGGAAATGAGCCTCCACTTTGGCACAAAAGCCCACAATATGAATTGAGGACGATCCGGGAGAAAAGCAACTGGAGATGAACGGAACAGTCGGTACTTTTGCAGCCTCACTGAGGGCCACTGAGACCCACTGCTTACTTCTCAGCAAAACTCGATCCCGTGGCAGCAGGGTTGCCTCGCTGCCTGCGGGCTGTGGCTGCCGCTGAGAAAGCGGCCCTAGCATCACGTGACCTTGTGGGATACACTGAACTAACTTTGCTTGTGCCCCATGCTGTTTCCCTGATCCTGTTAGAGCAGAGGGCCTCTCGCCTTTCTGCGGCTCGTTGGCTGGGGTACAACACGGTGCTCTTTGAACTACGGTGAAGGGATGCACACAGCTGAACCCCCCCTCGCTGCTGCCCACGCCAGAGGAAGGGGAGGCACACTGCTGTATCGCCACAATAGAACAGATATGCACTCCCAGGCCAGACCTGAAAGAGGTGCCTCTGACTAATCCTGACTTGATTTTTTTTATACAGACGGAGCCGCGTCACGTGACAACACTGGGAAGAACCGAGTCGGCTATGCTGTGTGTTCTGATTTTGATACTATAGACTCTGGTAGTTTGCCCCACTACCATTCAGCACAAACCGCTGAACTGGTCGCGCCCACCGGGGCTTGTGAGCTGGCAGCGGGCAAAACTGTTAACATATTCTGTGATCTGATGGTAAACCAATTCTTAATTCCACACAGGTTGAACGTCTGCTGAAAGCTGTAATGTTGCCCTTAGAGATCGCTGTATGCAAATGCCAGGCCCACACTAATGCCACTGATCCCATCTCTGCAGGGAATCGGCGCGCGGACAAGGCAGCGGCATACGCACCTCTACACACACACACACACACTACCTCACTCAAGACGTTGATATTTTCTACTCCAGCAGAGACGCTGCTGTGGGAGGGGAATGGGGCTCAACGACGGCATGGTGTGTGTGGCTGGGACCAGACAGCAAACCGTGCCTACCACGGCATTTCTTCAGACAGTTTGCAATTTTAGCACATGGTCGAGACCATGCCTTAGAAGGAGGGATGTATGATTTAATCACACAAAATTGGTATACAAAGGGGTTTACGGCATTTGCACAGAGATTCTGCCAAACATGCGCTATATGCCTCGCGCACAACCCAGGTAAGTCCCAAAAGTATCCAACAGGCTGCTCATCCTCCGCCCCGGCGCCCATTTCAACATGTCCAAAGGGACTTTGTTGAACTCACACCATGCCAAGGTAAGTAATACTGTCTGGGTCTGGCGGATCTCTGGTCCAAATGGACTGAATATTTGCAGGCATACACGCCACGAGCAACGCGGTGGTGAAAGCTCTGCTCACAGAAATTGTGCCACGATGGGGTGTCCCGAGGGAAAATCTCTAGGGACAATGGCAGTCACTTTGTAGCAAAAGTCATTGAGGAAGTGGGTGAATTTCTGGGCATTGATATACGTAAACACTGCAGTTACGCCCCCTGGTCCGGAGGCACGTGCGAGCGAGAGAATGGCACTCAAAGCTCTGCCGCTAGCCCCACGTTGGGCGCGGGACCCCCGAACAGAGATCTGCCAAGCACCTCTTTGTGTGATGACGACATGCTGTCCTATTGTAAGGAAATTAATGCACTTTTGTCCTCTATTTCTGCCCAGGTCAGGAGCGCCCTGCCACAGGCTGCGCAGGCGACTGGGTCCTGGTGAAGGAAACGAGACGAAAGCACTGGCGGTCCAAGCGCTGGCTCGGCCCATTCCTCGCCCTCCTGGTGACGGACACGGCCGTTAAGGTCGCGGAGAGGACAACTTGGATCCACGCCAACCACTGTCGTGCGGTGCTGCCACTGAGGGCCATAGACGAGGACACCGAGGGCGCGGACGGACCAGGCCCATCCGCGGCTCCCTACGCTGAAGAAGTTGGCCGGCGTGCGGCCACCGTCGGTGAAGCAGGCCAACAACAACACCCAGAGAATCCCAGCGTTCCCGAGGCGACCCCCCTTCTGCCCAACTCCCAGCCCCCGGATCCCAAGGCTTGGGAGCCATGAAGGCCCTGAGCGCTCTGCTCAGCTGCAGCAAGTATGCAGAGCTGCTGCCCATTCCAAAGATTTCTCCAGAGCCTGCTCCCTCTGGCCATAATGCAGATTTGAGCTCTGCTGGAGTGCCCCCTGGTGTCTCGTCTCCCGTGTGTCCGGAGGAGGTGGAGATGAGGGCTGCTCTACAGTTCCTGATGAGGCACATGGTGAAGCGTGCTGTCATGAGGTCTCCCATCAAACGAGCTTTGGGCCTGGCCGATCTGGAGCGTGCTCAAGCCATGGTCTCCACACCCCAAACCCCGAGCACTCTGCCCAACCGAGTGCTGAGGCCAAGGCTTCAACGCAATTAGAGTCTTACCGCTCCAAGACCAAACATCGCCATGGCCACTAACGCTCCACACACGCTCATAGGGAGCGGTGCCACTGACTGCGAGACGGCACTGCTCGTGAGTATTCCCGCGGAAAAGACTACCGAACGTAGCCCGGCTAAGACCGGCATGGGCCCTTGGACTGTTATGCTGGCCACACTGACACTACTTTCCGTGCTGACCGTGTTTATTATGTTAATATTGTCTTCTCTTATCGCTGTCCGGATCCATTGTGTTATTATAATGTGCTCTTTCTTTTATTGACAAGCATGTTTCTTTTCTTGTCCACTTTGGACAGCAATAATTTAAGTGTTTCAAGCTTGAAGGTGGTGTGATTACGATGCCTCTGGTATTTAACTGATTAATGCAAAAATGGTTTTGAATTATCAAAAGAGGGGAGTGTGGTGACAGTTTTTGGAGTAATTACATAAAACCAGCCGCAGCAAATACACGGACGTCAAAGGCCTTTTATCAATGCAGAGACGCCCTTCTGACGCCATGCTGAGCTTTGTGAGGGCCCCCTGCTGTCTGTCACACCCTTGTGTCTTTCGTATCTTGAATCTGTATGCCTGCTTCTATCCATATGTCCCTGCTGCCAGGAAGGAGCCGGGCCCCCCCGACACCTACAGACAATGGCTATCACTCTTGCCCCCTTTCACCTCTTGCATATGTATCGGTCTGTATGTGTGCACTTTCTACATCCTGCAGTCTGTTTGCATCCCTATGCGCCTCCTGCACCGGTGGCCCCCTCCCATCTGTTGTGGGCGGGACTGGCTTTCGTGTGTGTCTTGTAATACAGGAAACTCGGGGCTCTGGCCTCAGAGCTGGTACATGCTGCCTTTTGTGTGTGTGTGCTGGCTCTCCGCACGTGCGTTAACAATAAACTTACGCTTTTGATCAGACAAAGGACCTTTGAGTTTTCTCCTTCATGGGGTATATAATTCTACAACATCCCCCACCCGAAGGCGGAGGGACGCGACCCTCTCATTCACTGGGGAGAACTCCAACACGTGGCGGCTGAGATGGGGGGCAATGAGAATGGCCACCCCAGCTCGCCGCCTCTCCCCGCGGGAAACACCAGAAAAGTGGAGCGTCCAACCCCTCTCAAGCAGTTGGGTTCCAGAGCCCAAGCTGTGTGTGGAGGTGAGGCCGACTATCTCTAGTCGGTATCGCTCAACCTCCCCCACAAGCTCGGGCTCCTTCCCCCCCAGTGAGGTGACGTTCCACGTCCCAAGAGCCAGATGTTGGGTGTGTGGACTGGGTCGTCGAGGTCTCCGCCTTCGACTGCTACCCAGTCCTCGCTGCACCTCGCCACCACGGACCCCTCTGCAGGTGGTGGGCCCACAGATTTACATTTGTAAATCCAGATATGAGAAATATATTGATTGACCACTCAGATGCATTCCCTCCTGCCTTAACAACCACGATTGCATCAGCCCCAGTTATGGCTAAACCCAATGGAACAAATGCCCATATAAGGAAATTGGTTCCAGCTAGCATATATTCAAATCAGCTTTTCCCACATTCCGCAAATACTATGGGCGACGTCAGCCTCAGTTAGTCCACTATGGTAATACACTGCTCTTTTGAACTTCATTGTGTAGGTTATAGAGACCTGAGGAGTCGAACTCAGAGTAAAAGTCTTGTTCAGAGGGTTCTGGAGGTGGCGCCCTCTGCTGGAGACTGAGAACCGACATTAACTCCTGTAGAAACTGCCCCGTGGCGTAAGAGTCTCTGCTTAAGCAACACACCACCTGGTCCCCACTGCCCCCTACAAACAAGAGGGGAAACCACATGTTATATACATTATAATTCTAGAGTCAATATGAAAGCGTTGGAAGATACATGTCATTGGAAACGACTATTCCAAAAGATAAGTTTGTGTAACACCCCATCCTGCTGTACAACAAGTCACCGCTCTGCGACAGATACATATCCATCTAAACTGCTTTGTCCTTGTATATATTGAATGTAGTATCCTATTATTTTATACTGTAAATGTGTACATATTCACAGATAAGTATATTCCTGAACACCTATATCCAGAGTATTCTACTCTCACAATACTATCTTATTAGTATTCTTGTTTTCAGATTGATACCTTTTTATTTTTATTGTGAAATACTATGCAAGCTACTGTGACAACGCAATTTCCCTTGTGGATCATTAAAGTCTGTCTAAAACAAAGGATAACATAATTACTTTATGCTAATGAGTTAATAGTAATGAGCTAATGCTAATGAGTTTGGATGGTTAGACCTGCACTCCACACAAGCAACCTCAGCAATAGGTCAGTGACATGCTAATGAGGTAGGATTGTTAGCCCTAGCAAGATCGTTAGACCTCTCTCTCAATTTGACAGAATCGAACCAACCACTTCTTATTTAACGAGTGTATACAACAATGTTTTGCCTCCAATGAAATGTGTTAAAATAAAATCCAACTTTGTAACAGTATCATGCAATTACAGAGATGTTGACCATAAACTGGGTCAAACAAGTGATAAGAATAATATGAATAAAAAGTGCAAGAAGTGATTGATGAGGATTGACCTTGGATCCTGAAGTACTGGTCGAACAACCCCACGTTTACAGACTGAATTTGAGACAGAGGGGCCGAGAGGCAGCAGCACAAGCACACAGAGGAATCTCCGCACTCCAGCACATCCAGGTCTGTGGACGGATCAAACACAAATATTATACAAATAAAAAGGAGTGGGACGAGACCACATTCTATCGTTACGAAATAAAAAGGGCCATCGCATTTAAAGGAGGCATTGTAAGCAAAATGAGCTTTTTTGAGATTCTACTAGGTTACAATATTCCTCATCCAAAACAAACTTGGAGACGTTTTTGATTAAAAAAAAATGTTTTTTTTAATCAAAAATGTTTCAAATTTGGGGGGAAAAAAAGAAAAAAAATATTTCTACAGCTCCCTCTGGTGGTAGCGTAAGGAAGGCCGATAGCATCGTCTGCCCATCATATTTGTAAAACCATATATTTTCTAATTATTTCACAAATTCAAAAAGTATTTCTAAAGCATGAAAGCCCCATTTACTTTCTAATTCGTTTTGATGGCCCAAAATGTGAAAATTTTAAATTCTTCTTTGAAAAGACGTCCTCCATTGGCCTAAATGACTTGAAAATTAGATAAACCATTGGTGAAATCTTATTATTTGAGAGTCTAAGCATACTTCTATCAAGATAAACTACTAATTTCAAGCAATCGTGAATTTTGTAATGATTTATTTAAAAACATTTATTCCACGCTAATGTCAGGGTGGGGATATTATTTGTTCTTTTAATATATCTGTATACATTTTTTTTTCCAGTGATGATACCTGGGGGCGGGCCAAGCGAGGAGGCGGAGTCTTCTAATAGGAAGTAGATGGCGTTTGCAGAGAGCAGCAGCAAACAGGTGAGTTCAACCTCAGGAGATTTGTAGAGAACCACAGAGAGCCACAGGACCTGCCTCAGCTCCTCTCCGCCGCTCTGAAGCACACAGGACTCCGGACGTTACATTTGCACCATAAGAACATGGTCCAGGGAACGACCATGAGACGTGTTCAAGTCAGGTGAGTATAACGAAGAACTATTATGGCAATTTAGACAGTTTTGTCCCCCCCTGGTGATGCTTTACCAGAGCAATGTGTTTGTGGAAGACAGGCTGCAGCTGCTGAGCGTTCAACCCAGAGAGGAGCTTCAGGCCTGGGGTGAGACCGGGTGTGAGGTGGGGGGAGGGCTGCATCTCTTCCAGCGAAGTAGAAAGTGACGACAAACTGAGGAGAGAAATTTTGCCTGTGAAGTCGTTTTTACAAAATAGCAAAACATAAGGCAAGTATAACTATTTACAACAAGCCCCTTACAATATGAAACAAAATGTGTTGTTGCGGTGCTTTGTGATGACCCTACGTGACATAATAACCATCATACTAAGGTCTTCTACAAAGGTCGATTTGATCAGAGTTTACCGTGATGTATTTAATGCAGTGAGTGAGGTATTTATCATTTAACCTAGCTTTAGCAATCTCCTTGGCCACTAACGGAGCCCGTGTCTTTGCAGCAATGACATTTACTAAACATTCTTCTTGCTCAGACTTCAATTTCTTGATATTTGGAGCCAAACCAGAACCGATTATTTTACTAATCGCATTCTCTGCCAAACTACAACCAGCAAATTCGGCTCAAACTCTTGATGTCACAAACACCTCCCTACAACACCTGCCTCCCCCGCTCGCTGATTGATCGGAGGGAATTCAACAGAGGAAACTGCAGCCACTAGGATCAGACCCATGTGTACATGTAGGAAATGATAATTTACTGAAGTGACAGATCGCTAAGGCCAGGCTAAGGCCAGGCTAGGGTTGAACTGCTAAAGCATTAGTGTTATTGAGGTCTTACCTGTCACTGTGAGCCTTATGGGAACAACAGCACTGCTCTCCAGAACTTGGACCGCCTACACGCAAAAACACTGATTAAAAAGATGTCCTCCCACCTTTTTTCACATTTGTACTCCGTTTTTATACCCTGGTGGTTTATGAGAGCTTTTGTCTGTGGTAGAGCCCGCTGGAGCCTGAGCTTCCCCAGGAACGAAGCCCCATCCTCAGGCAGAGGGAAGAGCAGCAGCAGCCGGTGTCCACACAGCAGAAGCTCCACACTGTGATTCCAGCTGCAAAGACCAGACGCATGAGCTGATCATCCATTATTTGAATCATTTGAATGAGGAAAAAGGTCGTAATATGTATATAACAGAAAGCCATGATCCCAATGATAAGATTGAATCTAAACCAGTCTCTGCTGAATAAGAATAGAACGTGGTCTAAACATGTCTCACCTTAGTTTGTGATGTGGACTGTCACAGCAGCAGTTCTCTTCTCGACTGTGAACCACGACTGAACCGAGCGGAAACCGAACAAGACGAGACGAGGACTGCTGCAGACCTGGTTCAGTCCGGTCTCTGTAATCCAGGATCCAGACATAGAGCTGTCGGTGAGAGAGGAAGCAAGCAGGGCAGGTGAGGGGCTGGACTCAACACGTTCTGGAGCAGTGGATGCAGCGACTCTGAAGAGGAGGATGAGGAGGAGGAGAGGAAGAGCAGAGCTGTAAAACCTCCGTCAACTGAACGAGACCCTTCATGCTCCCATGAGTTCAACAGGGATGAGGGCAGACCAGGACTGGGCTCCTCGAGGCTCTCCAGGTCCATCTGAAAGACCAGTAACTGGTGTTTAGTAAAGGGGCATTGATGTTAGAGTGAGATCTATATATTGCTCCTTTTCAAGTATGATTACGGCATGTAAAAACAGAATGAACGTCTTAAGAAGTATTTACCTGAAGGAGTTTTATCAACTCCTGCCTGATTAGTCGAAGCTCATTGTGGTCAGAAAAAAAGAGCCACTGAGTGTTGGAGGACTTGGATCGAAGGCAGAGGCAGTTCTGGTGCTGGTCTGAGCAGAGCTGCAGGTCCGAGAGGGGGAGAAGGAGAGGCTTTTGGAGAGAAGAGATCAGCTGTGGCAGAGACACACTCGGGTCTGAAAGAGAGAAATATGGAATATGAAATATCCACGCAAATATTACTTCCTAATACATCACACAAATGATTTGTGTCGACACAATGCACCAAACATATGATTTATACATTTGCAGAACTCGTTCAATTGTTTACTGCTCTGGCAACAAACCAATGGACACAATTATGGACATGGATTATTTCAATACTATTATTAGATTATTTGACAGGGACATTACACATTAATGAACATTTCTGTAAATGTGTAAGCATTAGCTGCAAAGCTAGTTTTCAGCTGTTGTCCCTGGGAAATGTGTATAATGCCAACAACAATTACAAAACAAAACGATTTAAAAATTGTGGTTACATACTTACATAACAAATGTTGATACTGTATAATTCATACATTGATAATATCAAAATGTTTGTTCTGTTACTTGCACAATAGAAAGAGGATTTTTGTGCACGGGCAGGTCGTACAGTTCAAACATAAGACATTATTAGTATAAACGTGTACAGTTATTTACAATAAAACACCTGTGCAGAGGATCCTGATACTTGGATCAGTCGTGTACCAAGAGATGAGGACTAGCAAGATGGCGCCGTGTCAGGGCGCCGCAGGTGCGCACAATCTGTGTTTTGTTGTTTTTCGTCTGGGATTCACTTGCCACAGTGAAATATGATCGGCAAACACTTCTACACATTCGGGATCACGCGGGTGACGGGTCACTCGTTTTACCTGGACTGAGGTGCACAAACTTCCTCGAGTGTCCCACTCGAGAGGCCCGTGGAGCACGGCAGGCGGGCCGCGGCGGTGGCCGCCAACAGAGCGAGGGGACTGGGCGTCTCCGCGTTCTCTCCGCGGTGTGGAGCTGGGCACCTCGAGTCGGCGAAGGAGGCGCAGACACCAGGGAAGGCGAGGCGGTCTGCTCGTTCGTAGCCGCTCCTCCAGGACCCCTTTGCCCTCCATCTATCTGGCCGACGTCCAGTCTCTGCCCAACAAGACGGACGAGCTCCTGTGTCGGGTCCAGAGCCAGCGCGAGGCCCGGGACTGCGCTGTGTTCTGCCTCAGCGAGACGTGGCTCCACTCGAACGTCCCGGACTCTGCTGTTCAGCCCCCGGGATTCACCGCTCGGACAGAGTGAAGGAGACCACGGGCAAGGCCAGAGGCGGAGGTGTGTGCTTTTTTATTAATCAGCGCTGGTGCACGGACACTCGCATCGTGAACCAAACATGTACTGCCAATCTGGAATGCCTGGTCTTGAGCTGCCGCCCTTTTTATCTTCCCCGTGAGTTTTCAGTGATATTTTTATGTGCTGTTTACATTCACCCACGTGCGGATTACAAAGTAGCCCTACAGGATCTGAGCCAGATCCTTCACAAACATGAGTCTGCTCATCCTAACGCAGTCATCATTGTTGCTGGGGATTTCAATAAATGTAATTTAAAGACTGTACTCCCGAACTTTTACCAACACGTGACTCAAGCTACAAGAGGAGCACATGTTCTGGATCACTGCTACAGTAACGTGAAGGGAGCTTACAGGTCCAGTCTCAGACCTCCTTTTGGAAAGTCTGACCACTCCTCTGTTCTCCTTCTTCCTTCGTATACTCAGAGGAGCAGGGAACATAAACCAACCTCTCGCACTGTGCAGTGTTGGTCTGAGGAGGCTAGCATGAAGCTACAAGGTTGTTTTGATGCTACGGACTGGTCTGTGTTTCAGTCAGAGGACGTCAATGAATTTTGTGATGCTGTGTCTGGATACATACGCTTCTGTATTGACGGCTGTGTCCCACAGAAGGTCATCAAAGAACATTTTAGTCAAAACCCTTGGATGAACGCGGGAGTGAAACTGAAACTTCATGAGCGTGCGTTAGCGTTTCAATCAAATGATACTGTTACTCATTGAAACGTTCTATTAAATCTGCAAAGCGCAGTTACGGGGACAGGTTAAAGAGTTATTTTGAGGAAGATGACCCTCGGCGCATGTGGAACGGTAAAGCCATCACATCGTGGAAACCTAGCGCTGGGAAAATCGCATCTGTCGGCCAAGCTCTGCCAAACGAGCTGAACACGTTCTACTGTCGCTTTGAATCCGCTGATGCCTGTCCTACTGTATTCCCTGAGTGTTTCAATCAAGGTACCTTCACCGTGACTCAGGAGGAAGTCAGGCGTGTCTTGTCCACACTGAAAAGAAGGATTTTAGCAGGTCTTCAACTTTATATAATATAATTAATAAATGTAACACAATTGATTTGTATTCCTGAGTTGAATATAATGACATTAAGTAGATTTAAAATGTTTTTAGAGAGTCGCCAATATATTTATATTTTTCACGTTAGTTGGAAAGGATTAAATTGTATTTTGATCACCGGAAGTCCCCCACCCCCTCCCCCAACACACTTTCCCCTGAGTCCAATATCATCCGGCCAGCAGCTTAAAAGGGACGTTCATGTGCTTACAGGAACACCCTCTTCAAATACAAAAACGCCTCCTCGTTCTTAATTCGCTGCTGAACACATCCGATCTCATTCGGTTTTTCAAAATAAGATATTCAAAATAAGAACTATGTCAATGCTGTTCTTGATGATAGACAGTTCTTTTAAAATAAAGATATATCTATGGGTTTTACCGTCTACCGAGAAATGTTCCCTCCTGGTGGTACTCGTGAGCTACCGTCTTTACAGGTGCACAGTGGTCCACCGTATTATTTTTTAACTATCAATTTGATATTATTCATTACAACATTTAAGTGTGAAAACAAGATGGTTGCATTAATTACCGTAACCCTTGTGCTCCAGTTGCAAATGCCCTTTAAGCCATTTATCCCCAGAGAACAGATGGGCCAGGCGCATTACCAGCCCACTGCCATGGCCTGCCACTTCACATATCCTGTGTACAGGTATGATTGAGACCTCTGAAGTGATGCCCAGATCGTCTGCTGTTGACCTGTTAATATGTATGAGTGGACAATAGCGCTTCACAAGAGTCCTAAACATTTTGGAGACCCTGTTAAGGCACTCCAACATTGTTGTGTCACTTTCCAGGCTCAACCGAATTATTTTGTCCACAATTTCAGGAGGCAAGTGTGGCTTCATGTCCTCAGCAGCTGGCACGTCCCCTGATCCTCCAGGATAGCTGAGGGACAAATGAGCATATTGATTGACATGGTTAAGCACCACAAACTTCATCTGATATACCTCTCCACAGGGACTTTATGCAGAAGTTTAGCACACCACCACCTTCTGATGGTTGGCATGTGTTCCTGTAAAGTTAAGTTCTTTAATAACTTAAAGGCAAAGTGCAACATTTCTGAGTATTACATTATACAGTACCTGCTTAAAGATATACTTTGTATAATTATAGAAAACTCACTTCGCGAAAGTCATGAGGCATCTCCAGCGCTTCATACAAAGCATACTGAAATGAAAATAGGCTGCCAATTAGAATTATTCTACTGCAAAATCTCAATTAAAGCTACAAACTCGCCATCAGCATGAACACCCCACAGCTGTTGCTCAGATGCTGATGTGATGTGCCCTGTAAATAATATTAAGATCATCTGGTTAATAAACATCAAGTCATAGTGACAGGCACTTCAAATGTCAATCTTCGTAACCTGGGTCATACTACAAAAAACTAAATGGAATGCTTGAAAACTAAAGTCTCATATGCCGAAGACTTGCCTCATGATCAGACAAGAAGTGAACAGTCCATTCTTCTCGTGCTATAGCAAAAGCGATGGAACTGTAAAACAAACTAGCATTAGTTACTGGTATTGAAAATGTTAACCTGGGAGTATCACCAAATAGTTAAAATGCATGCATTGAACACAGGGAACATATGAACTCATCTTAAGTATAAAAAAAAAAAAAAAATTAATAATGGAAGTATAGTCTAAAACAGAACTACCATACTCCCAACTCTGTTCAAGAAGCAGTATTTGCAAAGTTACAGATTAATATTTCAAAAGATCTGAAACAAAAGAAATTGTGAGACTGGCATTTTATGCATTTGCAGAGGTGTCAGTTACACCTTTTGGTTGATAATAGGGATGTAAATCGGCGACCGGTTAACCGGTGGTTGACCGTCACAGCGTTAACCGGTCAAAGCTGTCGGTTGAAAAAGAGAAAAAGGGGAGAGGGGAGGTCGCTTAATAACGCTATTTTAAGCCCTATTTGCACGGTGTGACGAGCGGGTCTGTATCTAGCTGTGTGCGCCCATGTATTATAAACTCCGGGACGACTCTCATGCCGCACGCGCCACATATGCACACACGCACGCGCGCGCACACACACCCACACACACACTTTCCCCCTCTCCATACGTAACATCCACACGCATCATCTCTCCCCTCTGTTACCGTCAAAGTTGCACACTGGCGCGGGTCAGAACTACATTGGAGCTTACATTTACACACACACACACACATATACACACATATACATATACACACACACATACCGGTCTGTCGCGCTCCTCTGTGTCACGGAGCCCAAAGGATTCGCGCAAACACACGGCTCTAGTCAAACCACATGGAACATGTTTGTGTTTATGGTCCTCGGGATCAGCTCCACACACATCACTTGTATTTAAACTTTTGTGAAGACCTGTGAGACGCGGCTCGTCACTCGCTGCTCTGACCATGTGAACGAGCCGTCGTTTGCTGCTAGAAAGTTTTGGTATATTAACCCGCAGCACAGCAGAATGGGAAGATTAAAAAAGCAGTTCTCTGTGCGCAAAGGTGCCGGAGCTGTTGCGCGTTTGGGCGCCGCTGTCTCAGCTCTGATCCATTAGAACGCTCAGCTGCACTTATGAAAAGTACGCGGCTCGAAATGGCTGTTATTTCAAAGAACGTGGACTATTTTAAACTACGCGGTTAACCGGTTTCAACCGGTTAATGAGGCTCGGTGGTCGGTCATGAAAATTCATAGTTTTTTACATCCCTAGTTGATAATTACTGCTTCAAGCCACAAGAGTTTTGCAAATGAACAAATGAACCAGCATTCTGATGTCTTAGAAAAACCTGAAAACATCTAGGTAGCGGCCATCTCCAAAGCCAGTAGGGTCATTGGAGTCATAAAAGGTCAGACTCCTCCGTTTTGGTTTGAGAACCTGTCACGTTTCATTTCATAGAGGAGCAAGACATTGTTGGTTAAGGACCCAAATCACAAACATTTATACTTTGAACTTCACAACATGGTTCTCATAACCACATGCGTAATGTTTAAATTGGTTAATCCATCTCTGGAAGAGAAAATGTATAATTTTTTACTATAAAACATGGGGAAATAAGGTCTATTCAGAGTTCTACAAGATTAGCACCGTGTAGCACTAAAGATAGCAATATTGAAATGTACTGTACCATAAAGAAATTAGGATGAGAGAAAAAATGAAACCTTTCACCCTTCTCTCAGACTTGTACACATTCACATGCAGACTTGTAAGAAGTACATTCTAAAAACAAGATTACTCACACACAAGGTCCAGTGCCCAGGTTGCCACGCGGGGAGGAAGACCACATCTTTGTTTGCAAAGTCACTCTGAAGAAACAACTTGTTTTACATAAAGTTAAGGGATACAAGGTGAAAGCTGTCTATTAAATAATAGCTCACAATCATTCCATCTGTGGGAGTGTCTGCATATGGTGGAAGCCAGGTCACCACCACATAAGCACTCATTGCCATGGTGGCTATGCCCTTTCAAACAAATGCATGACAGATTTGCTAACTGTAAATAAAACACTCCAAAAAATTACGATGACATGTTCATCTTACTTTGGCATTTGCAATGTTGGCAATCTCATCGAAACACATATTTGCAATCTAAAAAGGGCACAATGTGTTAACTCTTACTGCAACGTTAAATAGAGCATTGAAGATTTACCGTTGCTTCCACCTCTCTCTCCAAGCCCAGAGTCCAAAAGTCAGACCTTTTAACATCAACATAGTTGGCCAGGTGAAATGGCTCAACTGGGTCACCATCCTGGGCTAATACATAGTCCAACTATGGTGAAATACAGAAAAAAGATAGTGGTTTATTCCACAAAAAAATAATAATAAAGTTCCTGCCTTAAAATTAAGAACGACTTGCCAATGCAGAGAGTCTCTCATGTATTGGTTCTTGCCAACATGGCACTGTGGATGAATGTTCAGAGGACTCAACCCCTGTGGTCATACGTGAGCCTAATTCAAATGAAGAGAGAATATAGAAATTGGCAGCATTATGTGCAAAATACGCATAGATTTAAAGTACTTGCGTTTTCTTGGTGGGGATGCATTTGAACCTTGGGCAGGCTCACTCATTGTAGTCAAAGAGGACAGATCAAAGTGCATTTGTCCCAACTTGCTGAGTGTAAGTGGGACTTCCTGAGACACAAGATGTTTCAATTCCTGTAGGATTGTCTTGTTTCGACGAACATTGTAATGGTGTATTATATTCCGCATCATGAACACATGTGCAGAAGGCAAATACATGTTCTATAATAATTGTTTTTTTTTCATGATCGAGAATAACTGTTCCGCAACTTGGCTGTTTATCTTTCCAACAAGTTCACTGACAAGCCCTATCTTGCGGAGGACATCAGTGGGATCTTTAGTGTTTTTTTCATGGAAGATGTCATAAAGGCAATAATGTTCTTGTGATCCCGTCACTGGATGCCCATTCGGGTCTGGGAGGTTCTTCTTGGAAGTCAGCCAGGGTAAACTCAGAGTGCCCCCACTGGAAGCCCATTCAATGTTTTCAGGGCTGGGGTCAAGCAGTCTTCCCTCATGTGGGCTGAAAGGGACATTACTCGGCTCTCTGAGATTGGCATGTACAGCTAGGCCCCTTGCAAAGTCATATATGCAAATGTTTGGTAAATGTTTCCAAGAAAGCAATAAGTCAGTAAAGTCGCGTGGACTTTCTGCCCTAATATTGAATTTTATGGACAACACTTGTCCACATGGGCACATGATCACTGCCCAGCCTCCTGTGGTGCAAAAATACAATGTGAATAAGAAAAAAAGGACACAGTACCGTGTACAAGTTAATTACCTGATGCACCCCAAACTTTTTGAAATACTTTATCATATTTGCTTCTCGTCTCCATTTCCTTTCGCAAACGCATGATCAACTCCATTTTTGATCCTTTGGAATCTACTTTGCACTCAGTGCAGAGTTTCCGGATGGCATGAACCTATAATGCAAATTAGATTTACATAGTAAATATTACATTCAATCCTAGAAAAAGAACAAATGGACATAAATAATAAAAAAAAAAAGTTAAACCTTCAAATTTGATATTTCATCTATCAGCCTGTCCTCAGTTATGTCCATCTCTGTGTACTCCTGCTGTTGCCTCGTTTTGTGGAGTTTTTCATAAGCACCATTTTAGATGCACGAGTATGAGGTCCAATCCAAGGGGCCCAGTTGTGGTATGATGGTTTAACCAAGAATGGATTTTGCCTGTCACCTGAAAGATAAAAAAGCAGTAGAAGATGACATAGTATTATAAATAAAAGATATACTTGGGACAAAACCACGGGCAATTCTCTCCAAACATATAGAGCTCCAGAACTCCTCAATGTCTACCTTCCCATTGTAATCATCCGGTGGGTTTTCCAATTCACTGACTACAAATTAAACAAGAGTACAATTGATCTATTCCAAGAATCAGTCTTTGCATTTTTTTTTTACATAGCAAAAGCCTCTCACAAAGCTGGAATTAAATATTGGAAACGCCCATCTTCAATGCAGTCACTGACTGCAAATGTTTAACATAAGCATGTCAGCTGTCAATCTCAAATAATATGAGTGCACGTAAATTTGACCTACTAATATATACAGTAATTTATTGTCACTTACTAGCACTTTAGAGACCATGAAAACTTAACAATTCGTACGAAGAGCACATAGCGCTAATAGAAAACCATGAAAAGAGCACATAGCATTGCTTCTTTGAGCAGTGTGAACTATAGAAACTACAATTCCTTTCTTTTTTTGCATCCTTTGAATTGCGATCATTGAAAGATCATCACTATTTACACAGAACATAACACACTGACCTTACCTGCCAAACTGAAGACACAGCTCTTGTGCAAATCCATGACCACAACAGGTGGATAATAACCACAGCGTGCACAGTGAAAATCATAACTATGGTCTGACAGTGCTTCAAAGTGAAGGTATGCATGAATAAGTGTGTTCTTGTTTGGATATTTCTGTCCTGAGGTCAGCTCCCACGTCTCAATTGCCCGCCCCAAAGCTGTATGTGTCTGAAATTGTGAAGATGACAAAAAACATTAATTGAATAGAACATTTCCCAAACTGCATGATTACCTGAAGACAGTTTCTGAGGTCAACATTACAAATGGTGCACTGTACCCTCTTCAAATTAGTGGAATTGCGAGTTCTGGGTTGTGGCGGCTGGTTCTGGGGCAGAGGCGGCTGGTTCTGGGGCAGAGGCAGCTGGTTGTGGGGCAGAGCGGGCAGAGGCAGCTGGTCGTGGGGCAGAGCGGGCAGAGGCAGCTGGTCGTGGGGCAGAGCGGGCAGAGGCAGCTGGTCGTGGGGCAGAGCGGGCAGAGGCAGCTGGTCGTGGGGCAGAGCGGGCAGAGGCAGCTGGTCGTGGGGCAGAGCGGGCAGAGGCAGCTGGTCGTGGGGCAGAGCGGGCAGAGGCAGCTGGTCGTGGGGCAGAGCGGGCAGAGGCAGCTGGTCGTGGGGCAGAGCGGGCAGAGGCAGCTGGTCGTGGGGCAGAGCGGGCAGAGGCAGCTGGTCGTGGGGCAGAGCGGGCAGAGGCAGCTGGTCGTGGGGCAGAGCGGGCAGAGGCAGCTGGTTGTGGGGCAGAGCGGGCAGAGGCAGCTGGTCCTGTGGCAAAGGCGGCTGGTTCTGGGGCAGAGTGGGCAGTGGTGGCTGGTTCTGGGACAGGCAGGTATTAAGGTGTTTTAGGATTGCCTTTCTCCTCGGAAATGTATTTGAACAGAAACAGCAGTGGAAGTGAGAACCACCTCTGTAGCCCCAGTTGCACATATAAATGGCAACGTCTGTAGGAAAAATATATGCATTCATTACTCATAGTTCTTCTAGTAAACAATATAGAAAACATTTCATGTATAGTTTGAAAATTTGATGTCATATGCAAAGCATTTTGAGATCAGTAGAAACGTTTTTCACATAAGAGTTTTAAAATTTAAGAATAACTTTTCATTACATGTATTGGCAATTTTACTTTATAAATAAAATTTTCTAGTGGCCAACATGAAACTAAATCAAATAATGGGCCCTAAATAGCAATAGTTTTAATGACCAGATTCATGTTAGTGAAAAAAAGTGACAAAATAATCATTCTCGATCAACTTAACATAATATTAATTTACTACATGTGATATATTATAGCTTTTGCATCATCATCTTCAAAAGTAGTAATAACCAAGCAAATACATCATACCTCCGTAACGTACCACAGTCTTCTGGTGGCTTTGTATATGCACTTCCACCCTCGCAAAATCCCCCTTATAATTCGGACAAAAGGGACAGTGCAGTAGAGGGCACTTGGGGTCGGAGCATCGTTCCGCTGCGAAATATTGACAAATGATCCTTAAAACAAAAGAACCGTATGAATTATGATCATGCTACATTACTTGTTTTGACAAATAAAGTAATAAAACATTTGCGAATGGCGCTATTGTTTGAGTATCTACACTACACAAGCGCTACATGATTTGTGATGAAGAAACAACTGTGAAATTGTTTAGTAGCAGCAAACCAACGCTAATGACCGCATGGCTAAGTAAGTGTAGCCAACAGCCTTGTCACCGATATTGTTCAACTTTGAATGCATACTTTTGATTACTACTTACGGTTAGCATTGCGTTAGTTCTATGGTTGGATTAGGAAAGAATGCAATTGCTTAAAACAAGTTATACTTACGGACATGTAGAACACACGTAGTTACACCTTCGCTGTGACTTTCACGTGCGGTTCAACCAAGATTCCGTGTTGCTGGTTATTTTGAAAGCGTATTTTGATACTGATTGGTGATTGGCTGTTGAAACTTTACAGTAACCCCCACTAAGGCGTATTTGTAGTCCAACGGAAACGCCCCCACAGCTGGCCCGACCCTCCTCCCTGAATCACGCACCTCAGCCGACGTCGTGCCACTCTGCGCTCCAGTACAGAGTCAAGTCCATTCATTCTGCTCTAGAGACAACCACTATTCTGAAAAAAGTAAGTTGGTCCATTTCACTTATTCGTAAGTCATTTCCAGCAATCTGTTATACTTTTCAACACCATGTTGAAAAGTAATTGTTATTGCGCTTTCTAGCTAACGTTAGCTTAGCTATCATCTCTGCCGGCTAGTTGAGTTACAAATGATGGTGGGTACTTTAGTCTTGCTTTAAAACGCTTGCATTTCTTGTGATTTGATGCAAATAATGTTAGTGAGCTGTGAATGATCTTGGGAAAAGTTAATTGGAAGAATCGAATGTTAGGTTAGCTTACTGCTAAAATAACACGCGGTCATTCCATGTCCTGTGATTTAGCTATGAACAGTATCTGATGTAATTGAATTTTAATCTTTTCCTTCCATCACAAATATAGACAAAGGGGCGTTTACTATAGTTCAGGTAATGTTTTTTGGGGGGTTATTATAAAGTAGTTGCATATTGTGAGTATTTTCTCAAGTTTTAGCCGGCAGCAAGCTCTAAACATGATCCTATCACATTATTTTGAACATGATTCGGTCACGCCCTTCCACATGACTTGATCATCCAAATGGTGCAAGTTCTACTTTGAATTGATTAAGTTAATTCTCTATGATTCCCAATTAAAATTATTTTTTTCATAGCACATCTATTAGACATGGCTTTCAACTGATCTCCTTAGATATTCAGTGGTCCCTCGCTATAACGTGGTTCACCTTTCGCGGTCTCGCTCTTTTGGGGATTTATTTTTAGAACAATTTTGAGGTGACCCGCTCAGGATTTTCCCCACGCTTGTGATGTGAGGTCTAATCAACACTAATCAAGGCAGTGTTCACCAGGCATAAGTGAACTGAGGGATTTTACAGCTTTAAGACGTATGATAATATTAATGTAATAAAGAAAGTTAGCTATACTTGTATTTTGGGATAAATGAGGGACCACCATATTTTTGGCTAAGCTTGCACTTCACTAATTGCTGTTTATTTTCATTCACAGGCCTACTTGCTCGATTCTACATATCTGGGGCCGTATTCCTAAAGATTCTAAGAGTCCTCTCAGAGAGCTCCTATCTTACTCTAAAAACTCCTAGCTAGGAGTCTTAGCTTAAAAGTTATTCCAGAACACTCTTAGAGAACTCTGAGCAAGGAATTGACAACAACTTTTATCTTAGTGAGGAGGCGTGGCCGACCCCGTTGCTAGGTATGAGTCATCATTTCAGACGCTGTGATTGGTTGATCTTAAAAGTTAGTAAAAACATATTTTTGATGATAATGGGCAAAATAAGGGCCCTAAAATGGACAAACTCAATCATGGAATCTAATCTTAGGAATACTGTGTTATTGTAAATAATAACCAAACGCTATAAAGTCAGATATATCAATGGTGCATAAATACTGTGAATAGTAAGATAGACTTTTACACCACATCATCAGAGCTTGCTCAGCACCAATTTCTAACAAATACATAGTACGTATATATCATGAGCACTTATAATTTTATATTATATATATATACATATATATATAATATATATATATTTATGTATATATACATACAATTTAAATATTACTCTATATATAATATACATGAAAAAGAAAATTATTATTATAAATAGTATATGGATAAATGATGATAGTGATAACGTTAGGATTAGTAAAGGCTGTGATACTAACAGACGTATAAGGCATTAAGGAAACAATATTAATACAAACATATTATACATACAATGTACAAATCAAGTACAAGGGAGTTTAAAAGTCTTAACCTCTCTCACTCCTTTTTGAGCTGGATTGTTGTTAATAAAACAAAACTGTATTTGTACTTCTTTTCTGTTGTTGTTTTGTTTGTTTTTGTCCTTTTTTCTTGTTTGCCATGGCTCAAAATAAAGTATTCATTCATTCGTACTGAATGTGTGAAAATGTAGGCCCACTTGTACAGTATTAACGCAATAATAGTTACATTTACTTGCTTTTATTATTACCATGCTGGTTATTTTCTCTCTTTCAACTTTCACCATTTCTACCTACTTTTGTGTAACAAGGGTAAAATGGATGAGTTGTTATTGCTGACCAGCCTATAAGAAGCTGGTCACATGATTGACTTTTAAATATTACAGAAGCATAATTCCTGCTCGACTCAATCTGTAGCGTTTCACTGATTCACTGTCATCCAGTGTATAGAATATTTCTCCTGTCTCCACCGTCCACCATTTTGAGCTCTTAGGGAACTTTTAAGTCGCTAAAAGTCCACCTCTCAACTCTTAAGGGATCTCCCCTTAGGAGCACTCTTAAGAGCTAGGATTCTTTAGGAATAGCTTTTATCTTAACTAGGAGCTACTCGTCACTTTTAGGGGAAATTCTAAGAGTTGGTCAAGATTCTAAGAAAATTCTTAGAATTTGGCCACTAGGAGCAACTTTTAGCACTAAGAATCTTTAGGAATACGGCCCCTGATCTTACAACACTAGTGGTAAGTCATGTTTCTTCTGCTGTTAGTGTTTCCCACAAATTGATAATGTACTTGGGTGGTGGGTGAACCTCATAGCTGGAATGACCTTTTTGGAAGAACTCTTGTGTAAGGAAACTCCTTGTTCTGGACCTCATAGGTTTATTTCGTTCCTCATTTTGTTTATAGCAAGGACTCCTAGCTTGCTTGTAAATCATTAGATGACAGGAGACAATTATGAATAGCATGCCAAATAAAAAATGGATGTATGTCTAATATTACTAATGTTAGTTGTAACCCCTGTGTCATAAAATAATATATAATCTAAGTAGAACAAACAAGAATCTACAAAATCTTAGAACAAACAAGAATCTACAAAATCTTAGTACTTACTGTGTTATAAGAAAATAATAGTAATGTAATAAAGTTGTATTAGGCTAGTAGTCAGAAGTCTAGATTTGGCTCAAGGAGGGAGTGGCAGGAGACTGAATAAGTTTGGTTGTTACCATGTATTAACAAAGGACAAAATTGACAAACAATACAGTGACACACAAAACATATACCCAAAAATCAGTGAATGGCCATTCAATGGTAACACGTGTTTCAAATCAATATTCATTCGGCACTGCACAAGTACAATGTATAGAAACGGTTTTCACAGTATTCACAAAAGCAACCAGTGATAGACTTCAACAAAACAGTTTCTCAGCCCGCGGCACAGTTCATCAATAACCCACTCTGGGTTTGACCAGTTGGACAGAGGGAGGCGGTGCACAAGAGTTTGTGAGATGTGGATGAGTGGATTGCAAAAGTTCCGTGCAAAGTGGGGAGAAAGTTTGTGGGCTGCAAGGAGCCCCCTACCGGCCAGCAGGGGAGATGCGAACATGCGACTCCAGATCCAGTGGGCTCTGTAGGCTCTAGGCCTGGTCCTTCAGCTCGCCATCAGGGTCAAAACCTGGCCTGTAGAACAGGACCAAAGCTCAAATAAATCAAAAGCTAACTAAATAGTTAAACTCCAGTGTGCACACAATTCTACAATACAGCACAGGTTGTACTATAATCCATCATTATCAAAGGGTTAAAAACCATATCAGTACTAGTATATAAATATTCACAGTGTATATAAACATAATGTACTAGCTGTAGTCATTAAACAGTATAAATCAAACATTCAATGAACATTCAATAAACAGTCCAATTTAAACAATGAATGCATCATTAAATAACATAAGTAAAAGCAAAGCATTACTAATGGACAGAACAGGCATAAAAGCTGCTTGCATAAAGCACATGGTAACCACTCCACTAATACAAAATGGATGTGGCCAGAAATGGCTATGCTACAGTGTGAAATAAGTTACACTCACCAATTCCTTGTATTCCTCCTCACAAGGGAGCTGATCACTATTCTTTGGCAAATAGAAGGCTCCTAAATGAGGCAAGTTTGTACAATAAACGTCAAACAAACAAAACACAAAGGCATCAAACAGTAAAGTGAGCACACTACACACCTGCAGCCACTCCCTACACAGCTTCCCCCACAGCACTTCCTGAACCTGCTTTCCTCTAACCAATAAAACCATGCATTGGCTAGAAGGGATCTGATTGGCTAATGGGTGGAGCAAGCAGTAGGCCAAGCAGTGGTATATTCAAAGGGGAAAACACTAGCAGGATTTGTCACCTGGGTTACAAAAACATTTGTTATTCCATGATTCCGTTCAGCACTCCTCGTTCACTCCTCATTTCACAACACACTCACAACACACTCACAACACACCGACTCCCCACGTTAGTATATTGGTCCAGAGTTTGTTAAGGTCAACGTAGTGTACTTGACATGACGCACAAACATATAACATACACAAACATATAACACACACAAACATATAGACAACACAGGAGGCCTGTAATTTAACTTTGTTATATTTTTCCATGTCCAATTACAATTGTCTCATGAGCTATTTTATTGTTGCAACTTTCAGAGCCTGCAGAATATGCAGAGCTTTAGGAGATTTTTCCTACAAGGATCCATTTCCAACTTTAGTGTTTAAACCACGTGGTCTTTACTCGGGCTTCTCACAGACTGTGTCCCCTATATTTTTTATGAGCTCTTGTTGTTACTTAAAAAAACTCGTGCACGCGCTAAAAATGTTTTTCCCTTTTTTCTGTAAAGCCAGTTCGGATTCATTAAAAATGTAAATTAGTTTCAAACTTTAATACTTCACCTTTGTTTCACGTTCATGTGGAGAAAAGACTATTATTCTACGTGTGTTGATGTACTTGCACCAATC